CCTACTTACCACTGGCTATCGTGCAGGTCACGGGTTCAACTCCAGGGAACTGTACAGATACTGTACACAGGTAAGCTGAGGTCAAGGGATCGACCCCTGGGATCTGCATCGGCTACTGCCAAAGGTGAAAACTGTTTCACAGTGAATCAATCTGCTGAGAGTATCTCCTCTAGCCCACACCCGCTCGTATAACAGCTTTCAGATTCTCAAAGAATACAGTGCTTTGACCCTGTTGACTCACAAAAGTGCCCTGGCCAACAGATCTGGCACCTGCACTTGTAGTGCACAGTCCCTACTACATTGGTGCTGGACATGTTGTGCGGCAAAGTTGTGAAAAAATATTTGGAGAAATCTCAAGAAAAGATATGTGAGGCATGAAAAAGTGTTTGATGCTGCTTCTCTTTTGGCAGGAACGATAACCCAGAATCTTTTTTTTTTTTTTTTTTTTTTTTTGAACAGCCGAGGTGGTACTAGGGGTGCTGGTAAGAGCAGACACCGCTAGTAACCCCAGGGAATCTTGATTCTTGAATTCATGAAAATCAAAGAGTGTATTGTTCCAAAAAAATTATAATATTCCTCGTGACTGCACACCACTTTGGCACACAGCACAGCAGCCTGGCACACGTGCACCGGAAGAATGATTTATGTGCCAGTTTGGTCGCGTGTATGCACTTAAAATACCTCCGCACGCAGACCTGTCTTCGTAAGGCAGGAGCTACATATCCAGGCAACTGCACCTGTGTCTCTGTACTTCACTCTTGTGAGACCGAATCTTTCCCGTATCTCACTTGGTCCACCTTCCAGGTTTCTCTCCAACCAGTCCATCGCTTGCTGACGGTTCACGCCATCTTCAGGACCATCATACTTGAACATATCCTTTCCAATGGCATTCATTCTCCGCTCAAGGTCTTCCACGTTCACAAATTCCAGACCAGCGTTGCCCACTGCTCCAATTACAAAGCTTGTCCAGTTGGTCACGTCACCCAAGTCCGGCACAAGCTCATGGATGCCCATGGAAATTGCACAGCCAGTTTTCAGCAACACAGTCAGAGCAAGAATTGTCCACCTGAAGAGAGTCCATGCATACCGGCTTTCCTTGTTCTGAAGAAACAACTCCTTCCCCTTCTGGCCATCTACAACATGGGAGCGGTCTTTGGACTCGCACATGAGGTGCAGCTCAACTGTATTCAAGCCAATCAGGAAACTCAGTTCTGGCGAAAGCCAGCTGTCCTCTCAGTGAAGTAAAGACGATGAGGAAGGCGACGAGTGTGCAGCTGAGTGGCAAACACAGAAATGCTAGACAGAGCACTGTTGAGCCTTGCAAACGCGTCAGTCTGCACTTGCCGCAGGTTTTTCACCTCTTCTTTCAGCTCATTGATGGACCGAAAAATTCGATTGGCTTTTTCATCCAGATGCTGGATACCCCTCTTCAGCAAATCACCTAACTCTTCCACAGTTGTTGTGGGCTGCTCACATTCAAACGACGCCTCAGAATAAGCGCCGAAATGGCCGGTGCCGTTTTTGTGACCATATTCGCACCATCTTCGCTCTAAATTTCCCCCTAGTACATCGAAGCTCTCACAAACTCTGTGCAGCTCACGCTTCTGAACGGACAAGTGACACTCCAGTGTTTTCGGTCTGATTAACACCAGAGCATCATCACAGGATCGTGAAACAATTTCCTGGCCCTGCCCATCCCAAATGGCAGGCCAGGAATGGAAGTACCTATACTCCTCCCTCGTCATTCCCTCGATCAGCTTATCTTCTGTGACAGTCTGATGGTCACTTCGATACCGCCGTGGAACAATTGCAGATGCTGTCAAACAGCCGGGACGCAGAATTTTCGTCACCAGATCCACACCTGGGAGACCAGTCGGCTCTCTGCAAAGTTGGTTGATTGCTCTCAAGATGTTCTCGTCAACCCATTCGGCTGCTTCTGCAACAGAAACCTCGGGCGAGGATACCATAACGTCAATCCAATCGTCATGGATTCCCCCAAACTCCACATAGATCTCGTAGCCGTTGTAGAATATCTCAGAAAGGTCCTTCTGGCAGCTGTAATTGCCCTCGGCGTGGAATTTCTCATGGAAGCGCACCTGCAAATTCACCACAAAACAAATCCAGAATTACAAGTCTGAACTGTTTACACTGGCTATGCATCGATGTGTTCCCATTCATATGGTGTATGCATAGGACCTACAGCTGCCCAGAGAGAAAAACGATGCGGGACACAATGTCTCATCACAGGTCAGCGCCAGCGAACTCCCACCCGCACAAAGTTATCATTGGACGTCACACAGCAATGTACGAGCCCAAATTTGAAATTTGCCGAGCCTGAAAGTGACCGGTACCAATTGAGGGTGGTACCTGTACGGTAACCAGCCTCTGTGAACGGAACTGCTGGACGTGCCGACGGTGCCGCCAGCAGATGGAATGAAAAGGAGGCCATCTTTTTCACTCATGTGATTCGGCATCCAAACTCTCCTCAAAGCCAGCCCCAGTATCTGGCTGAGGTTGAACACGAGATACAGGCGGATTCCAATGGATACTGGTCTCTCTTTTCCGTATCTGGCTTGTAACGAGCGCAGAGGCAGAGGACGAGGAGGGAGCAGAGGGAGAGAGAGAGTGAGAGCACACACACACACTCACTTACTCACGCGACTGAACTCGACCGGACGCAAACCAGAGGCGGAGGCACAAAGTCGAAGTCTTGGTTTCGAAGGCCCAAACAGCAAGTCACACTGAGTACAAGTACAGAAGCAGAAAACTGGTACGAGACTGGTCCCCGTACCGTACGGGGAGCCGGCATAAGTACCGGTGACACGTACGGTCCCAGGGGCATTTCTGCAAAGGCCCCGAGGGCAGAACTGAAAAATGCGGTATTTGAAAGTGGCGCCCGAATTGCAGCATGGCGCCAGTTGTCCAAAATCCTACGGTACCAAAGGAGGGGTTTGGAAAAAGGGTGCCAGGCTGAAAACGGGATGCAGCCGAAACAGCAAAAAGATAGACCAGGGATCGAGCCCTGGCGGAGTCCGTAACATCGCTACTCACCAAATGGCAACTGCCAAACTAACCAAAAGTAACGAAGGGAAAAAAGAAAAACTCACACTGGGATGAGTTTTTCACTCGTGTTCACTTGATTCCAGCTGGATACATGTAGGAAAGTGCCAGTGTGAGTATGCCCTTCGAGGAGTTGTTATCTGTCACTTCGGCCAGTTGTGCGTGCCACAGATTCTGCAGTGATTTTGGTGTTGGTATTCCACTGCGTGTTATTAGGGTTTGGCAGCAATTACTGTGTTGTTTTTGGCGGCGATTAGTGGTCTTGTTCTTGGGCTTCGCTGGAGATGCCTCGCCTGTTAATGGGACCGCGTATCTTTTTGTGAGGGACGCCAAGCCCATTTCCTGGCTTTTTATAATATACCAAGCCAAGCCAAGTGACGCTCCCAGTCTTTTTTTTTTTTTTTTTTTTTTCCCCTAGCTGTAAAGTTGTCTCTTACCACTGGGCTATTTGCTGGGAACCCCTATGAATCTTGGTCCTCCGAATTCTCACACTGAGGAACAATCCAAGATTTGGGGCAATCAGCAGGAAAACAAAGTTGTAATTCAATTGTCATGACGTTGAATATTTGGAGAATGCAGATGCAATAAAACAAAGACAAGAAAAGAAAAAGAGTAACTCCAGAAAAGAAAGAAGCAGAGCTGGTGCCCAGTCAAGAGGCGCAGCATATTTATTACCTTTCTTGGCCTGTCGGCTAAGTAAGATAAAGTGTCGTACCTGTTCTGATCAGTTTAATATCTGATCCGTGGTCCATCGGACCATTAAAAAAGAGAAAAGAAAGAAAAAAAAAGGCCGCAGCATGCGGAAGGGATGGGAGGGGCCTCTGGTCAGGAGATATTGGGCTCACTTTGGCCTTTAGGGTTGATAGGGAGGTGGACGCAGCCTGGGGAACTGTAGTGTCTGGGTACCATTGGGAGTCTCCCAGCTACAACGAATAGGTGTGACCACCTCCCTCTCTTTCATGTGCAATCAGACTCGCTTTCTTTCACACTTCGCATGCATGTAAACAGGCAGCACAGCAAACTGGCGACAAGCGCCCACTCAAAGCTCAGAGATATGGTAACCAAGAACACAGCTCAGATACAAGTTCGCTTCAAATGGCTATGGCGCATCAGCGCCTGTACAACTCTCTGATCGTCACTGTACCCTACTGCTATTCACACACACTCGACTTAGGATTACCCTGGATACCCCACACACAACACACTGTATGCACACGCACACACACACTGCACTTCACTACCAGCTGTGGCGGACTTCTTCAGGGGTGGCGCACTTCAACTATGGCGTCCACGCGTCTCTCTCCTGCTACAACGGCGATGGCGCATGGAGTAGCCGGTACCAGCTCCGATACCAGTCCACATGTATAATGGTTCATTTTCGCTTGTTGGTAAAAAGCAACTGGACTGTCGCCTTCAGAATAGAAGAGGCACCCGAGTGTGTGTTGGTTTCTTCTCTTCTCTATCTCTATACTCTTAGAGGTGTGTGTGTGTGTGTGTGTGTGTGTGTGTGTGTGTGTGTGNGGGGAGCAGAGTGAAGAAGAGGAGAAGGTAGAAGAAGAAGACGAAGAGGAGGAACCCGAATCGGAGTGGGAGGACTTGTCGGAAGAAGTGGCGCACACAGGCACGGAAGCGGAAGATCCCGAAGCGGCACGTAGAAGGGAAGAGATTGCCGCGGGAAAAGCCAGCTGGAGATCGCCAGCGGGGCGAGCCTGTGCATCAACGACGACCCGACCAGAGATCCAGAGCCCCCCGAGCCCGAAGATGGCGGATCAGCAACCGCGGCTCCGAGCGCATCGCGACGGAGATGGAGCCGATCCCCCTCCCCCTCCACCTTAACCCGTCCCCCACTTCGCCCACGTACCGATGCGGGGAGTTGGCCTTCTTCCCCGGTCATTATCCCGCCGTCCCCTTGATTACCTTACCCTCTCCCAGATCTCTACCCCCGTCACCTTCCCTCGCAACCCCTTTCCTCCCAATACCTTCCGTCACTTTTACTCCTAAGTACCCAAATTCATGTCGTGAAATGGAAGGTACAAAATCAAGTCTCTTGGGTTAGGCGCGAAGCGTATAGAAAAGTATAATTAAGAAGGATACACCCGAGACTCATTCTCCGCCGAGCCCCTACACCCGTCTTGCCGTCACCGTCCATCCCCACCCTTCCCTTCAAGCCGCAAACCCCACGTTCTGTTTACACGTTCTCTTGTTTAGTGTCGCGTGGGAACAGAATAACGCAGTAGAAGTCTACTGCATAATCACAGGAACCATCCCAGCGTGTCGCCATCACGAGCTGTTCCGCGCGGCACTCTTCCACACCTTCTCCACCCTTTACCCTGACTACCTCGCCTCCCTCCCTCACAGCGGCGATCGGTTTCCCTGCTTTCACCGGATCATCCGCTACGAGGAGCTCCCGATCACGGAGGAAAGGATGAACCGATACTTACCCCCACTTCCCCCCAACCCTCCCCGTTGACACCCCCCTATGTATAATATCTACTTCCCCATTCCCACACGGCGTTGATACCCGCCACGTGTCCTCCGAGCAGTACGAAGCAGCAGTTTTCACAAAGATCACGCCATTGACGATCACGTCAACTTATGCTCTGATTCGAGGGACTGCGCTAGAGTGGGGGTGCAGAGCACACGGAGATCTGATGGACCATGATGGTGCCACCTTGATGATCTCCGAAGTTTGAAGGACAGGGGGTTGCATACGACAGGACTGCAGGGAACGGGATCAGAAACATCACGAGCAGGCACGCTTCACGGAGATCTTGCCACGGATGTTGTCGCCAGCTCATCATGCTGATCCGAGCTCCTACCTCCTCCTGCTTCTTCGTCTCCTCCCATCCCCCTCGTTCCTTGTACTTCCTCCTGCTTCTTTGTCTCCTCCCATCCCCCTCATTCCTTCTACTTCTTCCCACTTCTTCGTCTCCTCCTATTCCCTTTGTTCGATTTTTCATGCAATCAGGAGATCGCATAATTTTGTAACCCTCTGCGCGTCACATATGTGACGAACCATTTCCCGACCCCATGCTATCTTTCGTACCCCTTGACCCAATACCCCCCTACTTGTATCATACCGACCCCACAAAACCCTCGTCGCTTTTTTTGATTTCAGGCGCCTTGTTTGGGTCCCCATTTGTCGGAAGTTCTATTGATTCTTGGAATTCTGGTTTTTGTAATTCGGAAAATGCACGGGAAATTACGCGCGCCTTAGCGAGCGCACACGGAATCGGGTTCGACAGTTAGGAATTACGGAATAAGCGAAGCCCAACGTATCTTTTTCCTTGCATGAATGTTCTCGGTCACGTCGGAGAAAACTCTAGGAATTTTGTGAGAATACGGATAGGCATAAGACTGTCTTTTCCCGCGTCGACTTTCGCGCGCGGATGTGGTGATTTCAATTTTTGATCTGGGGTAGGACATAGGCAAGATGTAAGTGTCGTGGTGCCTTTTTTCTCTTGCTGTCGGCACCGCGCATGCGAGCTTCCTCCTCCTTATTTCCCGCGCCATCCTTCCCCCGCACTCTCTCCTCTCTCTCTCCCCCCTCTTCTCCTTCTCCTATCGCAAATGTTTTTCCCTCCCTCCCTCTCTGCTTTTTGCGCGCCTGTTTTCCTTTCTTGATCGTCTGAATCTTGGACCCATCTCGCGCTGCTTTTCGCGCCTCGTCTCTTCTCACTCTTCAACCTCGGCTCTCGAAGCCCGGTTGATCCTCCGATTACCCCGGCTGACCAATCAGACGCGTTGAGTAAGAGGATCTTCCTATTGCGCGACGAATCTGATTGGCGGACCATCGGGTTCTGAAGGATCAACATGGCTTCCCTTGAGCACCCTTCACTGAACCTTCTCTCCTTACACCTCGATTTCCCCTCCGACTCTTCCCCCATCTATCTCCTCTCTCGCAACTATAAATTCCGCAAGCGCGTCCGCAAGGCTCTCTTATGTTTTCCACTCGTAAGCCAGCTTCCGGGAAGCAGTGGCTAGGTGATGAGTTTGGTGGAAGTCGAAAAGTCCTATCGGGCTGACTGTAGTCTGGTCGGTTGCACGCTTGATCGCCACGACGGACTGTGGGATCAGGGCGAGCCGAGTCGAGTCCGTGTCAGCGGGGTGACGATCGCAGTGGCGAAAGTTAGCACACGACGGTCGGGATCGTCGGTGCGGGTATGAGGATTTGTGATTGGAGTTGAGTGGATGATTGGCCTGGGGCAATATTGGAATTTTACAGCAAATGCGCATTCATGATTGCGAATCATTTTTCTGGTGTGAGTTAATGGCAGTGAAGTCGAATGCTCTCTTGTCGAATTCTGGTGTCTTCTGTCTCGACTTTTCTCGTCTATCCCTCCCATCTCTCTCTCTCTCTCTCTCTCTCTCTCTCTCTCTCTCTCTCTCTCTCTCGACTAGCCACGTGGCGGGCCTTTTTTGTTTTTTTTTCAGAGGAGATGGCTATGGCGGGATCTTTGTCACGTTGTTTGGCGGAGGAGGAGCGGAACGTGGAGCGGCAGGAGCGGGAGAAGGAGCGGGAGGAGGTGTGAGAAAAGGAGGAGTGGGAGGAGGAGCGGGAGGAGGAGCAGGAGGAGAGGGAGGGGAAACGGGAAGGGGCGGAGGAGCTGCAGGAGGAGGAGCGGGAGGAGGAGCGGCAGGGGAAACGGGAAGGAGGACAAAGAAACTTCTTTTTTGCATGTTTTTGTCTTTTCATTTTGTGATGTGAAAGGAGACAGACGGACCGGCTCAAAGTTGACACAACCGCGCACCACACACAACCGTGCACAGCACGGCGTACAATGTGGGAAAGCAATCTCAAAATGAACCCCCGAAGCAAGCAAGGAGCATAGCAGCACAGAGAGTTAGCCACAGCTGGGCTATGGCTTCCACCTCAGCCCTCACCGCTAAATAAGAATGACGACCCGGGGCCAGGTCCCGCCCACTCACCGGAGTTCTTCTCAAATTCCGACCCTTGATTCTGAGGATCTAACGAGATTTAACGAAATCTAACGAGATCTAGAGCGGGAGGAGCGGGAGGAGGGGTGGGAAAAGGAGGAGTGGGAGGAGGAGCGGGAGGAGGAGCGGGAGAAGGAGCAGGAGGAGGGGTGGGAAAAGGAGCGGGAAAAGGAGTGGGAGGAGGAGCGGGAGGAGGAGCGGGAGGAGCGGGAGGGGAAACCGTGACGGGAAGGGGCGGAGGAGCCGCGGGAGGAGGAGCGGGAGGAGGAGCGGGAGGAGGAGCGGGAGGAGGAGGAGTGGCAGGGGAAACGGGGAGGGGGTTAGGAGCGGGAAAAGGAGCACGTGGGGAAATGGGAAGGGGCGGAGGAAGCGCGGGAGGAAGAGCGGTAGAAGGACCGGGAGGAGGAGAGGGAGGGGAACGGGGAGGGGGTCAACCAACACGCGGGAGGCGGAGGAGCGGGAGGAGATATAGGTGGAGGAGGAGAAGCGGGAGGAGCGCGAGGGGGAGCGGGAGAAGGAGCGGGGGGAGGAACAGGGGAAAGAGCAGGAGAAGCAGCAAGGGAGCAGCAGGAGGGGGAGCGGGAGAAGGAGATGGAGGTGGAGAGGGAGGAGCAGGAGGAGGAGCCGGAGCGGGGCTGTGGCGAGATCTTTGTCACGTTGTTTGGCGGAGGACGAGCGGGAGGGGGAGGAGGACAAGGAGGAGGAGGACTGGGGAGCGGGAGCGGGGCTATGGCGCGGGAAGAGGAGCGGGAGGAGCGGGAGGAGTAGTGGGAGAAGGAGCGGGGAAGGAGCGGGAGCGGGGCTATGGCGCGGGAAGAGCGGAAGAAGGAGGGGGAGGAGGAGCGGAAGAAGGAGGGGGAGGAGGAACGGGGGGAAGAGCAGGAGAAGCAGCGGGAGGAGCGGGAGGAGCAGCAAGAGGGGGAGCGGGAGGAGAGGGAGGAGGAGCCGGGCTATGGCGGGATCTTTGTCACGTTGTTTGGCGGAGGAGGAGCAGCAGGAGGAGGAGGAGCGGGAGGAGGGACGGGAGGAGGAGTGGGAGAAGGAGCGGGAGAAAGAGTGCGAGGGCAAACGGGAAAGGGCGGAGGAGGAGCGGGAGGAAGAGCGGGAGGAGGAGTGGGAGGAGGAGCAGCAGGGAAAACGGGGAGGCGGTTTGGAGCGGGAGGAGCGCAAGGGGAAATGGGAACGGGCGGAGGAGGCGCCGGAGGAGGAGTGGGAGAAGAAGCGGAAGAGTTGAAAGGTGGACATTGATTGATTGATTGATTGATTGATTGATTGATTGATTGATTGATCGATCCAAAAAAGAAAAAGAAAAAAAAAGATCGCCCCGTTCTCCTTTTTTGTTTTTCAATCAATCAATACAACCACGTTCTAGCGGTAGATTCATTTAATTTTGCTCATCATATCGATGGAAGTACCATGAGACCAGTATATTTCCATGTTCTGGCTGAAGATTCATTCCGATTTTGCTCATCCTACACACACACACACAGACCGACATTGCCACGCTTCAGCAAATGAGCAAAACGGGTTGAATCTTCCCCTACAACATGGAAGTATCCACTGCCACGACATGGAAATCTACACTGCCAAACACCGAAAATGTGGCAGTGCATATTTCCATGTTCTGGCACATTGGCAGGCTGCTCAGTTGATGCACACATTGAACTGTTGAATTGGC